GGGTGGGGCAGGGGGGCAGGGGTGAAGACGGCAGGCAGGAGGAGAGGGGACAAGGGGGAAAGCGGGCGGGGGCCAGGGTGGGAGGGGGGGCGAGCAGGGCAAGAGGTCGGGCCAACAGTGGGAGCCCAATGGACTGCCGCGCAGCGGGCGCGCCCATCGAAATCCGCACTGGCGGCAGCCCCGGGGCGGCAGGCGGGGGGCAGGGGGGCGCTCGGGCCCACCTGCACTGTCATGTGGTCTTCGTCTGTCATGCGGGGGTGTCGGCTCAGGGGGCCTGTCGGGGGCGGCGCGCGGCGCGCGGCGCGGGAGGGTGAGTGGGCCACAGCCCCGCGACCGCCCAGCAGCGGTTCCTGCCCAGGAGCGGCCCTCTCGTTTTGAAACCCCGGCCCCGGCCCCAGGGGCAGCCGAAGGCGGGGGATGGGGGCTCATGATTCGTGGCAGGCGGCGGCGGCGGGGGACCCAAAACCTGGGTGCCCTGACCTTGCCCCCTGAACCCTGGAAGCCTTTCGAAGCGCCCGGCGGCCCGGCCGCGCACCCGCGGACAGGCCCACGACGGCTGCGAGGGCGTCGCGCTGCAGCATAGCCTCCTTGATGTCCCGCATGTAGGTGAGCTGGGGTGACGGAGATGGGGAGATGGGGAGAAGGGGAAATGTTGGTGGCTGGGGGAGCGGGGCAGCCGGCGACGGACAGGGGGGCCCAGGGATGGGATGCTGGGCGGCCGGGCGGGGCCGAGCGGGCAGGCCGCAAAGCCGCCGCGGCCGCGCAGCCGCGCCCGACGCCGCGCGCGCCGTTTCGTTTTGCAGCGCCACGTGCGCCGGGAGGCGCGCCTGTGTGCGCGGCGAACTTGCGCGGGTCGTGCGCTGGCGCCGGCCCAGCGCGCGCGCCGCACCTGGCGCAGGGGGTCGGCTGAGTAGACATCCACTGGCATAGTCATAAAAGTCAGCACCTTGACTGGTTTATGTTGGGGGGAGGGGGGGCGGGGCAGGGACGACGCGCGTGTGCAATTGCTTAAGACAAGGGGCAGGGCCTGCCGGCGGCGCCCCACGCGCAGCGCTGCCGCGCGGCTGCCCTCCGCCTGCGCCCGCGGCCCCGGAAATCCGCCGTGCAGCTTGGCGCAGCACTCCACGGCGCCCCGGGGGCGCGGGCGTGGCCTGCAGATGCAGCCGCTCGCGTCACACGCCCGCCGCCGGGCCGGGCCCGTGCGCCCCCTCCACCGCCCCACGCCACCCCCCTCAGCTGCTCACGCGCCCCCAAAAACGCCGCCGCCGGGCCCTGTGCAACCCAAAGTCTCTGCCGGCCGCCCGCTCACGCGCGTTGAAGGCCAGGTCCTCATCCTGGGGGTATGTCACCAGCAGCGGCACCAGGTGCGCCGATGCGATCTGCGGCGCGCGGCGCGGCGCGGCGGCGCGGCACGCGCGGGGCGCTGTTTGCGTGAGCGCGCCGTGGGCTGCGCCCGGTGCGGCCCGGGGCGCCGCGCGGGCCGGCGGGCCGCACGGCAATCCTGGCTGACCCGGGGTCGACAATTGTCACGCATGATCCACCCTTGCGAGCCGTGGCGTCGCCCGCGGCCAGCCTGCCGCTGCCGCCGACCCGCCGACCCAACCCGCCTCGCCGCCGCCGCTGAACGGCCCCAAGTGACGGGCGGGAGCTGCTGCGAGGGCGGCGCTGGGGCGGCGCGCCGCTGCCGCTAAAGGGGGGTGTCTGGTGCGCGCGCGAGAAAGGAACCAACCTGCAGCTCCCCCAGTTTGAAGAACGCATCCCTATCCTCGGGGTGGTCGCGCCGCAGGAACCTCTGAAGGTCTTTCAGGCAGGCTGCGGGGCGGGAGGGTCCGCCAAGGATGGGGTGGGGCGGCTCAGCACGCGCAGCACGGGGCGGCTCTGTGCCGCAGGGCGGGGCACCTTCCATGCGGGCTTGCATTTGCGCATGCGCGCATCTTGAGATTGTCCGCGATGCGTGTAGAGCCTGTCAGCTGCGGGTTTTGAGCACCAACAGGCACAATGCCTCGGACTCGAGGCTGAAGGCAGCAAGAAACGGGGCATGTGCGGCGGTCAAGCACAAGTGCGTGACGCCGACAGCTGCATCCCACGCGCTATGGCGCATCGCAGCGCTCACCCACGCAGTCCTGGTCTTTCTCGTAGACCTTTCTGCTGTCTAAATATTCGAAGCGACCCAGGCCTCCAGCCACAGAGAGCAGGAGGTCGAGATCAAAGCCCCCGCCCCCCGACTCCTCGAAATATTCGTCCTCCAAGTCAATGTCCATCTTTCAGGTTGCGAGTTATGGCATTAAACGGTGTCTCTGTTGGTGATCTGCTATGGCGCCAGATCAGCGTTTTGAAAGTGTTTGAGCAGCGACTTGGACAAAACTGATACATTTAATAACACACCACCACGCAATCGCGAAGCAGCGATGGGTTGAGGCAAGGAACCGTGGCGGAAGGCAGCAGCTTCACTGAATTACCTGATTGTCGCCTGCGCTCATGCCGTTGCAGGGCACAGCAACGTGCTCAAACCTCAGGTGAGACGGCAAGCTATACTTGGTACCTCTGCCATTTGCCGGCTACTGCACTGGTAGTGCGTGCTGGCTGGGTACATCAGTACAGGGGCTTTACACGGTGACAGGCAGACAATGGACATGTGGTGTAGATGACAAAGCTAGACGAGAAACACGAAACGACAGCGGTACAGTGTTGGACAATGGTAGCAGCAGCGGTACGGACTGTGGCTGGGGAGACTGCCAGCACGGCAGGGGTGTTGCGACAAGTGTGGCGCGAGCGGTGCAATTCATGATGGGGACGGGCCGCAGCTCCCAAGGTTCCTGGAAGGAGGGTGGGATTGGGCAGGACCATGCCGCCGCCGGCGGCAGTGCGCTGCATTCAGTACAGCCGGGCATCCCAGGCTTGCAGGGACGCTGCAGCTGGGCGTTGGCACCAGTGGGGCCGCCCCCGGCGGGGGCGGGGCCGGGAGGCAGGGGAAACGACACCCCCGACTGCGCTTCGCACAAACAGGCACGCGCCTACGAAAACGAGAACCCTCCGCGTTCGAGCCGGCGGCTGGCGGCTGGCGGCTGGCGGCTAGCGGCACAGGGATCAACATGCCCGGTGCCGGCCGGCGTTGGCAACTGCGCCATGGGTACACAGGCCGCCGGGCGTGCACGATACGGGAGCCATTGCGCTATTCTCGAGCTTGCGCGTCGCCGGCCCGGGGTCTTGAGGGCCTGGCATGCGCTGATCCCCCCCAAACAGTGAAGGACCGAAACAGAAACCGGTAGTGGAGGTGAGACGGCTGAGACCGCCCTCCCAAAGGACGCTGCCGCGCCCTGCTGCGAACGGCTGGCGTCGAGGCGCCTCAGCAACTGAGGTTGTGGGAGTGGTAATCGAATCACCACACGCGCGCTCGAGACCAGGACGTGGTGCAAGCTGTGCAGCGGTGCTGGTTCGATCGGTGCGAGGCGTGCTGGCGCCAGCCGCGTGGAAGCAGCGCCGGCGCGCTTTTGGTGGGGGAGGGGGCGTGCTGCGCGTGGATGCGCACGATTATGACGGGCCAGGTGGCTATGGCAAACAGAGCGTCTGGGTGCAGGCGCAGCGGAGTCGGCTACCAACGCAGCAACGCAGGGAGCGTGAGCATGTGGAGGGGGTCATGTGCCATGTGCCGGGAGGATGGGGTTCGAGCAGGGGGAGCGCCGGTGCGTGGGCTACCAGGAAGCGGCGGACGGGCTGGGCGTGCCTTGCGGGGGTGCGGAAATTCGCCGTCGCACGCGCGAGGTGCGCACGCGCGCGCGCGCGCACACACACACACACACACACACACACACACAAACACACACACACACACACTCACAAACACACGCACGCACACACACGCGCGCGCACACCAACACACACGTGGCGCCCGTCCCCTCTCCTCTGGGCGCCAGTGGAAGGTGGGTGGCGATCAAACGATTTGGCCGTAAGAGGTCGCCTGAACGGGTTTATTCTTCATCACACGCCGGGCGCAGTCCCACCGAGCCCCGCCCGTGCACCACAGCCGGCTGGGCCGCGCGCTTACGCCAGCAGTCTTGGCGCCCTTGCGGGGCCGCGCCCATCCGCCCGGCGCAGCCGAGGCAGATCCCCGTCGGCGCATTAAAGCGAGAGGATGAAACAGTCTGACAATTCCCTGCCGGCAGCTCTTGCTGCCGCCGCAGCCAGAGCGGCGGCAGAGCTTGCAAGCCCGCCCCGCCAGCAGATGAGCACAGTGTCCTTCGAACGCCTGGGATCGGCCTGCGGCGGCAACTGCACGACATGCCAGCCGCATGCATCCAGATGAAAGCCAACAGCAGGGGCTTGCACCCCGTGGCGGTGCCGAGGTGCCGGGTGTGTGTACGATTTGAGCCCGACTCATGATGTGTGAAGACCAGCCGCCCTCGTGAGCGGTGTACCTGCCCGGCGTGCTTTTGGCGCGGGCTTCGCTGACACGGCCCCGCCTCACGCCGCGCAAATGCACGTCGTGCGCTGTCCACACCCTTTTGTGCGGGGGCGGGGCGGGCGTGAACACGCTGATTACGTCACCAGTAACCGCTGGCCAGCGGGGCGGCCAAGAAGCCCGGCTGCGGGTGGTGCTGCACATGGGGGGAGAACGCCTCCTGTGCCGCAACGGCGGC